GGGAGTCTCACTGTCGCCCAGACTGGAATGCAGTGGCCGCTCCTGGCCACCGCAGCCTAGATCTGCTGGGCTCCAGCGATCCTTCCACCTCAGCCTTCCAAGTAGCCAGAATTACAGGCACGCACTACCACGCCCGGCTGGTTTTTTGATTTATCGCAGAGATGAGGTTTCGCTAAGTTGCCCAGGCAGGTCTCGAACCCGCAGGCTCAGGCAATTCACTCAACTCGGCCTCCCAAAGCGTGGGATTACAGGCTGAGCCACCAAGCCCGGCCTAATTTGTTTTCAAAGTGTACAAAGCAATATTATAAAAATCAAATTTTAAAAAGAAAGCTCTACTATATTAGAGTGTGTAAGTAGATCAATAGCTATAACTGTTTCTAAACCATTTCCAAAATGATATTTTAAATCTGCTGAGAAAAACATTTAAACAAACAGATAAATAAATTACATTTAAAATACTTACGTCTTCTCTAGGTAGTTTATTTTCATTGTCTCCTTCAATTCTCACCCGGACCACACCAGATTTGTCCACTATTTCTTGAATAACTTTGCCATTTTTTCCAATTACTTTTCCTTTAGTAAGAGAAAACAAATATAGTGATAAGTTAAAAACCAATTCTGATATCTTTTAAACACCAGCTCAAATAATTTACAACTTGTTATTAAAGTCTAACCACTAAGCAAAGTTTTGTCTTTTTACTTTCAAGTAACTCACCCTAAAGATTGTCAACAAATTTTATCCTTGGTCTCAGACTATCTTTTCTTCAGTATGCCTATGGTTATTAGCTGAGACTAACAATACTGCTCATGTATAAGAAAATTTCAAAGTTGAAACTTAAAAAAAAATCCTATATCATTTTCATATTTTAAAAATATCCAGCCCATTTTTTTTTTGGATCAATCTTACTTGTGTCTGGCCAACCAATTTCAAAACCCTGGATATGGACATAAAGGTAAAGAGAACAACTATTTTAATTTGGCATTAATCATATCAACTTGTTTATTACATATGATGGTCACACAAGTAAATCCATCAATCTTGCTTTTATTTTCAAGTGTCTATCTGTTCAAGAGATATCTGTGATGTGAAGGTAACTCTATAATGAATATTCTCTCCAGGAAAAAAAACGTGCACACTTATGAGTGCTACATGTTATACCAAGAATTTTTAAAAGTATTTCATGGCTATATAAAAAAGTACATAAAGCATTTGTATGGTATGCTGTTTTGCTAGGTATAAAATATTGTAAAATGTCATAAAATTCGTATTATTTGCCTTTTTTACACCTAACTTGAAAGTGTGTTAAACAGTAGTTATTAGAGTATATAATAATAAAAGAAGAAAATATAAGGGAGCCATGAGGACTCTCTTCTCCTAATAACTTACTATCTAGTTATAAAGATTAACATACATTCACATAAAATAACAAAAACTGGGTAGTATAACTAATAACAGAGGTAATTATTCAGGTAGCCTTCACTATATACTAGTATTCTTATAAAATTAACAGCAACATTGCATTTATCAAGTCTGCATCCTCAATGTTTTTATTAAATCATTTTCACAAAAGCCTAAATTAATTTTGGTTGAAGAGGTTAAAATAGAAGTTTTTCCTATTGCATGTTTCAAAGAACAGCTTCCATTAAAGAATGAATACGCATACAATGGCAACAGCTGACGGGTCAATACACCAAAAGCATTATAATGGGATTTTCTCTTATGTTCCTACTCGCAAACCTCCATCCCCACTAATAACCCTTAATTTAAAGCAGTAGCAACTGAACAGGTTGTTAAAAAAAAAAAAAAGTAAGACAGGGAATTCACATGACGTGCATCTTCTCTGAGCAGCCCTAGCAGCAGCACATAAAAGCAACCTTCATTGTTAACACAGTGCAGCTCAAGCAGCAACTCCATCCTTGACCCTGCTAAAAATAAGCATATGTCTTTTCGAAAAACAAAAATCAGTTTGATACACCATAATCCCTCCCCCAGAATCTTTGCCACTTCCTTTTTGTGAACTATACCAGTTTTGAGTTATCATCCATCACCCTTCTGGGGTCCTACCTGCAAGTTTTATTTAGTCCCACCAGAGACCTTCAATATTTTAACTGATCATTTCCACAGTTTAATTTCCAGAGTATATTGACAAACTGAAGCAGACCTGTAGTATAAATTGAGTATTGAGTATAAATGCTAAAGGGACAGAATACAGAAGTGATTAAGGAAGGCTTCTAAGGGATGAAAGGTTTTGATTCATTTTTGAAATCAATGTTCACATATTTTTCCTTTTTATTTGGAAAGGGTGGGAATGGCCAAGTCCTAGAACTCTTGGAATCAGGAAGTATAAGGAAATCCTCTCTGGAACTTACCCACCAAGTGGTCCTCATTCCCTTTTATTCCTCAGTTCTCTTTTACTCCTTTCCCTTGGACTAAGAATTCACTACTTTTCAAAAGACTGCTTGACTCACAAAACATTTGGAGGGAAATATAGTATTATTAAACATAACAACCAAGAGAAAGTTTTAGCACTACTCCTGAGTGTTTCACCAATGTGTAATAGTTGCGGCTAATGTGTATTTCCTAAAGAGCACACAAACAAGTCACATCACCAAAGTCAACCAAGACAGGATACAGTATAAAAAGAGACATCACAGCTACTCCTATCACTGCAGTGATAAATGAATAAAGTATCAGAAAACTACAAATATATTCTGATTTTCCTTATTTTTGAGTATCAGAAGTATTTACTTAAAATTAACATCTATCACAACTCTGTAAGATCAAGATTATCTTTTATAGAACTGTGTGTTGGAGAGAAATCTGATATCCTTCTACAAACCCACCAAATCATTTTACAAGTGAGGAAATCTTAGTACTGATAGATATCAATTATTAAGTATGATTTACAAAAAAGGGCATCACTTTTAAAAGCAGTTTTCTTGTAAAGGTGATTTACATGGCAATGATAAACAACTGATAACATTTTACCTTAACAATGTTTCCTAAACTCATACACAAATCTTCATGTTATGTTCGGTTTTAACATCTCAACTCATCTCTCCAGCTCAGTCTACAGTGAACAATGGTATACCAAGAACTGATAAAGTGGAGCTTACATAATAGGCAGCATGTCACACTTAACCGAACATTTGGGCAGAACTGAAAAGCTTTTTACAAAAATAACAGCTGAATTCCAAAAACAATTATATCGTGTTACCAATCACATTTCTTAAGTATACTCTACTTATTACTGGCTAAAGCAAACATCTCTTTCGAATGAAAGGGTATTTTAAAATTTTTCTATCGATGTTTGTCTTATAGGATTTGATAAATGGAACACCTACGGTTAAGAAATAATTTCCTAAAGGCAGACAGCTCATGTTATATAAATGGAGTCCAAGGACTGAAACTATGAGACAGTAGGGAACAAAAACTCACCCCCTTCCTAGTAAACTTCATTACATTATGTTGATGCTTTTTATATTAAATGGGTAAGACAGTCACTGAGTACTTAACACATAACCACAGACTTCCCAACTGCCTCAAATAGCCTTAAGTAGACAGACAGCACAGATGTAGGGTATATTAATAACAAAGCTATTAACTCATCCCAAGCTATAATACTAATTTAGTCATAGTTTCTAGTTGTCACTTAATTTATAACTTGTTAGTACAATAATTTCATTAATGTCAAACACTAAATAATGAAACTTCCCATAATATAACCATCCGTCTCTCCCGCCCATAACCTCTTATCTTATTCTATGCCTTTGTAACAACCAATTATTATTTATTCAAGGTGTACTGTGTAGAAGTTTATTAACCTACTGTTAGTTCACTGTTACTTAACACCTTCTCAAAAAGTACTATCACAATTTTGATGGATATACAGATAAAAGGACATTAAAGGAATGAGACTAATAGGAAAGATCCCAAGGTATGAAAAAGCTTCAGGAAAAATTATAATGACAAACTTATAAAAATCATGCATCTCATTAGTGGGCCACCCTGTACAGAAAAAACATCTTTACTTTTTAACATATGACAACAAGGTAAAAGTCACATATAATGTTACCACCAAAAAAAAAAGTATTGCTATCTAAATACTCCTTATCAGACTACAAGAATAATTTTCAATTTAGTCTCTATATGTAACTAAATAACATTTAACTTACTTAACATTTAGAAGCACCTACCAACAAGATTCCTAGGAACCTGAATAAAATCCTCCACAAATTCCAAGTAACCTCTAGCCTTTTTTACAGCATCAGAACTCTGTAGGATAAGGGAAAGAACAAAAATGAAATACTGTTTCAATCCTGAAGTAACCCACAATCCAAAACAAAAACATAAGAAAAGAGAACATTTTGATTACATTCTACCAAAAGATTATGATCAGCCTACTGGGAGAAATTTCAGGAAAAGTAATTCACTAGGTACTTGAAGAAAAAAAAAAGTAATCATTAAAAAAAAAAGCTTAAACCAAAGTAATTCACTAGGTACTTAAAAAAAAAAGAAAAGTAATTAAAAAAAAAAAAAAAGCTTAAACCAAAACTCTTAAAATTGTCAGTACTATGAAACCAAAAATTTTATAAGATTCTCTATAAAGCTGCTGAGAAGACTAGTAACAACGTTTAAATTACTTATGCTACACAGCTGCTGTAAAGCCAAACTTTAACCCAATCCTAAATACACAGGTTCACCCTCCCAGGTTGTATTTCTCATGATGAATGTGAAAAACACAAGTTGTCTAAATTGTACGCATTTTTAAATACTTATTTTCAACATCAGAAATGATTTAAAAAGCTCTTTATGCAGATGTAGTTTTAAAAGTACCTACTTTATAATATAGGTATTTTAAAAATACCCACATTAAAATTCATACTTTTTAATTGATACAATTTTAAAGGGCTAGAATGTTGGAGTGGGAGGTCTCTAAAGGAAACTTACAGCTCCTAGTAACAGTTACTTTCACCTGTAATGTTCTTTAATATTTATAGCTCAAATGTAATGTGTGCTCACTACATATGTCATACACAAAAAATATTTTAAAAAATATGTTCAATTCTCATGAACTATAAGGTAAGCACTATTATTGTTCTTATTTTAAAATGAGGGTACTTATACAAGGAGGTTAAGTAATGCGCCCAAGTCCACTAAAAATAGTAAAGACAAGATTTCAACTCAGGTGGTACAGCACCAAAGCCTGTCTTCTAAATTAATATATTATACTACCTACTTTTAAAGGGTTCAGAAACAAAAATGAAGCCTCCAGTCAGATTTACTGTATGAAACAAGCTTTTCATAAAAGCCATGTATGAGATTCAAGACTTAAAACTATCACTCAAAAAAATGCATTTATTTCAATTTGAAGAATAATCTTGATGAAGCATGAAAAATATATAGCTCTATATATGTGTGTTTGTGTATATACACTTTTCGCCTTTTTTATAAAGAAACAGAGTCTCACTATGTTGCCCAGGCTAGATTCAAGCTCCTGAGCTCAAGCGATCTCCCTGCCTCAGCCTTCCAAGTAGCTGGGATTACAAGCATGTGTCACCATACCTAACTGAATTACGTATTTAAAAAATAACCTACTAGGCCAAGTGAGGTGCTCACACCTATAATCCTAGTACTTTGGGAGGCTCAAGTAGGAGTATTGCTTGAGCCCAGGAGTTTGAGACAAGCCTGGGGCAACACAGACAGACCTCTACAAAAAATAAGAAAATCTGCTGGGCATGGTGGTATGTGCCTGTAGTCCCAGCTACTAGAGATGCGGAAGGATGGCCTGAGACTAGGAGGTTAAGGCTGTGGTGAGCTGTGACCACACCTATGAGACAGAGTGAGACCTGGACTCAAAACAAATTAACAAACAAATAAACTTAATTTTCTATACCTGAAAATGTCACAGTCAGTGATAAAGGATTATCCAAATTCAAATTCTATTGAAGCTATTCTATTATATGCTATTTGATACTGCCAGTGCTTGACACAAGGGTTAAAAAAAAATCTGGATAAGTTATTTGTAATAGGTATAAAACTGAATAAATGCAGAAGCAATTAGTTAAAGAACTCCTAAAAATATTACACATTAATTACTCAGTAAATCTTTCATTTCCCCAATACAAAAATCAATCCACCTTCATAAGAAATGATTTACTAGACGGATTAATTTTAAATGAATAAATTCCGCATCAAGTGTTTTACCAGGAAACTGAAATTCTAGATTAAGTATGATAAAACAATAGATTGTTAATATGTTAAAGTTAGTCAAGGCAAGAGATGGAACAATTTACCTCTCCATAGATTCTAAATGTTCCAGTATCTTCATCTAGCTCAATAGCAGTAACTCCAGGAACCTTCCTAGCTTGCTGTATATTACTACCATGGGTTCCTATTGCCAGGCCCATTAAATCTTCTCTCACAACAAATTCCTCATGGAAAGCTGCTGCAAGTTGTTTTGTACACTAGTAACAGAAGAAAATTAGTATGTAAAAGGTCAATATGTTTTTTGTACACTCGTGTGCATAGGACTGTTCACAATACTCAAGAGGTAAATGCAACCCAAATGAATGGATAAACATCAACTTATGTATACATACAACACAATTAACATTCATCCTTAAAAAGGAAATTCAAACACATGCTATAACATGGGTAAGGTCATTATTAAGCTAGGTGAAATAAGTCAGTCACAAAAAAGACTAACACTCTACAATTTCATTTATATGAGGTATCTAGAATAGTCAAATTTATAGAAGCAGAAAGTAAAATGGTGACCGCCAGAGGCTGGGTGAAAATGAGAAGTTGTTTATAGGGTAAAGATCTTCAGTTTTGTGAGATGAAAAGTTCTGAAGATTGATCAACAATGTAAATATAATTTAATATTAATGAACGGTACACTTAAAAATGGTTAAGATGGCAAATTTCATGTTGTATGTATTTATTTTACCACAGTGTCTTAAGAAAACTGGAAAGAAAACAAATCATTAAAAAAGTTTAAAAAGGCCAAAAGCCAATCTCTTATGAAATAAAGGAAATTAACCCAATGACAAAAAATGAAAGAAAAAATTTGATTAGTCTATTTAATCATGGTCACAGAAAGTAATAATTCTAAAAGAGTTTTTCCAAATTAGAGATTCGGGCATTTCTTCAATTCAGATAATTCTTGTTTCAAAATTTGTTCGCAAATCTCTTGTATGGGACCTTTTATATTAATGAGGATACTTGTAAGTTTGTCCTAAGGATAAACAAACTTCAATTTTTCTAAGTCAAGACTGTGTGCACGCACATGTATTTAGATGAGGAGGGTAGGGAAGAACAAGAGAAAACAGACTGCCTTAGAACCGGACAGAGAAGTAATGATAAATTTATTATGTTAAAACTGCATGTCATGCCTCACTCCTAGTCCTCCTCTCCTCTTACACAAGAGTTGTTACAGTGAACTAGTTACTGACAGAAGTACATCATGACTAACAAGTGACAGTGTAGTCACAAAAGGTTAAATACAAAGTAAAGAACTACCAACAGTTCTGTTGGGTATTCCCTAGTTAGTTTCTACGTTCTCTGGCAGCTGACATCTAAATCCTAACAAAAAAGTCAACAGGAATTGAGCAAATGAAAGCTATGATTGATAAAAGTAAAATGGAAAAGCAATTCTTCTAAGGGCACGATGACTCCAGGTATTAACCACAAAACAGAGGTCCTATATTGTCTTCATTTGAACCAGGAAACTTGAAGAATATACTTATGAAATAAATGTGTACACAAAAAACCTTCTGAAATAAACCCACTTACTTCTAAATGCTTAGTGGCCTCTTCATTTCTGGACATAAGCATCAACTTTGTACGAATACTTCGCAAATGCATGTCACTTAAAATATTTACTCTCTTCACAGTTGCTTCACTGGCAGACTATAAACAAGCAAGTTAATCACTCAAAAGTTTGATTATTATTAAAGATAACAGTCTTTACAAAGCTTTCCTTGATTCTCATCTACTAACACTTCCTCCTTCACCTAACACTCCCTGCTCCCTGAGTAATCATGCTTTCCTGTATTATCTGGATCTACTAGTCAGAATGTTTGTTCAGAAAAAAGTTCAAGAAACCACACATTAAGAATGTTGTGATGTTAAGATTTTTCTTCTTACTCCAGAATTGATCAAAAGTAATTAAAGTTTTATAACTGGGGAAAAAAAAGTTTTCCCCACATTGTATTAATAAACTCACTAACATTAAATTTACTTCAGCTTTCTTTTTTGAGTCAGGGTCTCATTCTGTTGCCCAGGCTGGAGTGCAGTGGCACAATCATAGGCTCACCAGAGTCTCAAACTCCTGGGCTCAGGCTAGTAACTGAGCTTCCCAAGTAACTGGAACTACAGGTAACATGCCACTATACCCAGCTAATTCTTTTTCTTTTTTATTTTTTGTAGAGATGACGTTTTATGTTGCCTAGGTTGGTCTGGAACTACTGGGCTCAAGCAATCCTCCCACCCCGACCTCCTGAAATGCTAGGATTACAGGTGTGAGCCACTTACCTTACCTTTTATCTTTGGAAACATCTACTTATAAAATCTGTGCAATACTCATTAATTAGCTACCTTAAAATAATGTTATCTTACCAGTATCATTAGCTGTGTGGTTTCTGGATGGTAAAAAATTCTGCATGCTCCTACGGCTTTTTTAAAATCCTTATGTGCATTTTCATTTGCACACCTAGAGAGACATTAATTCATATGTAAGAGATCAGTAATAGATTTAGAGGAGACTTATAATACAAACTTAGTATTCCATTTTGACATCCCAATTAAAATCTTTGTTCACTAAAAAGATTTTCTATCAGAAGATTTGATTGGGTGCTTGGGGGGAAATGTTTTGTAGCACTGAAAAATCCTCTTAATTCACAAAGCAATTCAATAGTAAATAAAATTACTCACGCCTCTCTCAAATCCTCAGGAACATCCACTGTGCATTTAAAGAAGGTATTTTTTTTGACAGTTTTATTTTGATTGACAGGCCGAAGTCGTTCAAATGTGACTATTTCATTGTAAGTAGCATCACAAGCAGCATATTCAATGACATAAAACTAAAAGACATCAAAATACTTTAAAAATCCCATCTGAACAAAAATAATGAACTTTCAATGAAGTTCTAATTACCTTGCTCAGCTTAACCAACAGAACCTCCCCCACGTGGCACAAATACCAAGCACAGCTTAGCTACATCAATCTGATTTGCCTAAACTAGATTATGGGTTCTTACAAGCATGAACCTACATGGTGTTCCTTACATGCTTGAAGTGTACCTCTGGAGAGCATCTTTGGTGTTTGCCAATACAGAACACAAACAGAAATTAATGCTAATGAATTTCTAAAATGTTTGATCAACTCTTTTTGAAGCAGGCTTTCAGAAACAAAACCGAGAGCTGGAATAACATTTACAAAAACCAAAAGTTGAGTTATTTCCTTGGAAACTAATCACAAAACAGTGTCAGATCACTTACTTCTCCTTTCATCATGCGAACTTTAGCCAACCACCATCCACAAGGTTCTTGGTCATTTGCTCTTGAATACACCTGAAAGAAAAAAAAAAAAGGCCTTTATTCATTCATCCCAAAATAATTCACACTAAATAATGACCTAAAATCCCACTGAACTCAAGAATCAAAAACATTATTTTGCTGGAAATGGCGTACTAAATGCAGTTTACCAAAGGAGTATGTACACTTAAATTTTACTACTTTGCCTGGTCCAGTGGCTCACACTCAAAATGCCAGCACTCTGGGGCAATGACTGAAGGAGTGCTTGAACCCAGGAGTTCAAGACCAGCCTGGGTAACATAGCGAGAGTTCATCTCTACAAAAATTAAAAACATTAGCCAGGCATGGTGGTGCACACCTGTAGTCCCAGTACTCAAGTGCCTGAGCCCAGGAGGTCAAAGCCTGCAGTGAGCTATGATTGTGCCACTGCACTTCAGCCTGGGTAACAGAGTGAGACACCAATTCAAAAACAAACAAACAAATAAATAAGTTAATTAATTTTCTACTTAAAAACAAAACTAAACATTCTTTGGGCAGTTTGGTTTATTTTCTAATCCTAAACTCACAAGAGTTTGCTAAACATCAATATTATTTTTTTTAATGCTTTTATAAGGCAATTTTACATAATATGAAACAGAGGTCTTCTGGTTTCTGTCAACATTAACCAAAATTAAGAATTATTTTTCAGAAAGCGATAAACCCAATTTTAAAATTCCATCACAGGCATGACATTTAGGCCTCTTGCTAAAGAACCTAAATCAAATGTACTACAACTTTAGCTGAATAACAAAAAAAATTACACACATTTAGCTCATCTAGCAGAGTATATAAGCATTTTATAAAAAACTATCTACAAAAATGAAGTTATATTCCTGGTATCTGTAAGTATCAGTTTATTAACATAACAGATTATAAAGGTTTTCACTCAAGCTTAATGTATTTTCAATACACAAAAAGGGGGAAAGGGAAGGTTGGGAAGAAATAACTAAGAAAAACCCACAAAAAAATCTTGATTACAGGAACTAAGACTTCCCTTGCAGAAGTGGCCAGGATAGTCTACCAATGAATGTTAACAGCAATCTGGGAAATAAATGCAAATGACTATAGATTGGCAAATAGTTTTGGAAAGCCTGAAGCATCTATCAAAATATTTTAAGAGTAATCTTGGAAGTATGGAAGTAGTGGGAATACTGGAACTACAAATGAGTAAGTCAAAACCTAATAATCAACTTTATTATACACCATTATTAGAAAAAAAGGAAGGCCAATATACTAACCAGGGTACAGTGGACTCAATTTAAGTTTTTCAGTTTCTTTTACACAGAGATCTAACTACTCAAACAAATTAATATTGCATGACTTTTACCGTCCTTAGAGATCTTCTAGAAAACAAGAAAATTTGCTTTTTTTTTGAGTTGGAGTCTCACTCTGTCGCCCAGACTGGAGTGCAGTGGCCGCTCCCGGCCACTGCAGCCTCAAACTGCTGGGCTCTGGCGATCCTTCTGCCTCAGCCTTCTAAGTAGCCGGAATTACAGGCATGTGCTACCATGCCTGGCTGATTTTTTGATTTATTGTAGAGATGAGGTCCCGCTGCCCAGGTGGGTCTCGAACCCGCGGGCTCAGGCAATCCACTCACCTCAGCCTCGCAAAGGCGCAGGATTACAGGCTGAGCCACCGAGCCCAGCTGAAAATTTGCTTTCTTAAAAAAACTAGAATAAAACTCACCCTGCCTTGCAATTTTCATATGTATCCAATGGATTCTTTTATAAATAAAAACGTAAGGTAGAATCTAGTGATCTTAAAACTGGGTTATTAAAGTGATCTTATTTTTTCCTATATCTTTTAAACATTTTATTATTTCATCATTCATCAGTTATTCTCAGCCATGCTTTAAAAGAAGACTAAAACAGGTGCGATGGCTCAAACCTCTAATCCCAGCACTTCAGGAGACTGAGGTGTGAGTATTGCTTGAGCCCAGGAGTTTAAGACCAGCCTGGGCAGCACGGTAATACTGTGGTGTCTTTAAAAAAAAAAAAAAAAATCAAAAAAATTAGCTTGGCATGGTGGCACACTACTGTACTCCCAGCTACTCAGGTGACTGAGGCAGAAAGATCACCTGAGCACAGGAGGTTAAGTCTGTGGTGAACCATGATCATGCCACTGTACTCCAGCCTGGATGACAGAGTGAGACCTCAACTAAAAAAAAATTTATTCTTACATAAAGACCAAAGAAAACATCCTTATAGACTGCTTTCAGTCACTGTTGAACAATTAAGAATTCAGAAGTTGTTGCTTTCAACGCAGGAATGGAAAACCAAATACCACATGTTCTCACTTAGAAGTGGGAGCTAAAAGATCTGCAAAGACATATAGAATGGTATAACGGACTGCAGATGCGGAAGGTGGGAATAGGGAATGGATAAAAGTCACCTATCAGGTATAGTGTGTACAGGTAGGGGTGAATGGGTACCTCAAGCTTGATTTGCTGAAAAGACAGGTCTTAAAAACTACCTCAACCCCTTTATTCTATTTTTGTCACATTACTTTCTAGAAATGAGGCTTCCTATGTAGCTGGCTTACAAAAATAAACCATTTCCAACTACCTGGAGTCTTTATTTCTCACTGAACACTGAAATGCTGAATTTTATACTTAACATGAAAGACAAAGTCATGCTCACAGGCCAACCAAATATAAATTCCTGAGCCTGAACCAAATATTACGAATTTGCCTCCAATTTAGCACTGTGGGTCAAATCATATTCTTTATGAAGAGTATCGTACAATTAAAAAAAAATCACTCTAATAACCCAGCTTTACAACTGTGCCCTAGTATACTATGTACTATGCGTTAATTACCGAATTGGCACATGAATGTGTTACTGGAATAACAGCACCTCATACAAATTTCCTTTCTTCAGATGTCCCTTAACTCCCCAAACTATTCCACAGGAGTGATTACTCTGAGGCAGAGGCCCTCATTACTCTAACATACTAAAGTTTCTCCAAATGAAAAGTAATTAAGTGATGAAGAACACATTCGCCTTTTCTTTATGTGTGAGCATTTTCCAAGTAGGAAGATGCAGCTATTAGTATTATGAGAAAGACTGAGTTACAAACAGACAGCTAAAATTTTCAGAATGCCCAAAAGAATCAAACACAAACTTTTTTAAAGACAGGAAGTAAACCATACATGCTGTATTTTATCTTCTGTATAAATAAAATATTGAAAACAAAAAGTTGCAAGGTAAGGAAGTTTCCTATCTCAATGGATTTTTATTCTTTTTAATGCAATTTATCTCAAAGCACTTATCCCAACATTTTAATTATAATATACAGATGTATAACCATAATGCCTGACAATTCACCATGACTGGGAAAAAAGGGAAAGGCATAATAACCACAAGAACAGAATCTTGCCAAAAACTTTCCAATTTGTATTTTAACTCCCGATACTAAGTCAGAAAACCTCATAAATCAAAAGCAGCTAGGTTTTTTTTTTGAGTTGGAGTCTCACTCTGACACCCGTAACAGTGGCATGCTCATGGTCACCGCAGCCTCAACCCGCTGGGCTCAGGTGACCCTTCCAGACTCAGCCTTCAAGTAGCTGGAACCACAGGCATGCACCACCACGGTATTCAGCTAATTTTTGATTAATTGTAGAGACGAGGTCTCGTTAAGTTGCCTAGGCTGGTCTCGAACCCGTGGGCTCAGGTAATCCTCTCACCTGTCCCCTAAACAAAAGTAGTTTTTAAAATTTCAATTATGCGAAACCCAAGAAAAACCTTCTAAAATTACATATAACGTGCCTAATGTGCATTATTTGTACATTACTTGCTAAACAAGCAGGTATTTACTAAACTCAAAGGCAAAACATATCATCTATGAAATCATGGGAGTGGGAGGATTTCTACTGCACTTCCAATAGCCTAAAACATATTATGTCTAGTTTTAAAGAATCTAAAGACGTCTCCATTTTCCTATTACCTTCAACTTTACAAGCTGAGCACATTTTCTAGAAATCTCTAATCAGCAAAATTAACCATTGGGCAAATACTTAAAAGAAATTTAACATTACATTTAATGTTACAAAGATTTCAAAAGACATGCCACCATTTTTTAAAAAGTCAAGTAAAAATCCACTAATTAGGTCTGAAAATAAAAATTCCCATTTTCAACCTTTTCATAATCAACTTTCCACTAGAAATCATATAGTGCCTTCTTAAGGCCAGTTACTAGACCATGAGCCTAACATGCTATAACTTCATTTAAGTCTCCTAAGTTGGCAGAAAAGGTGAACCTAGTATTTAAGCAGCCAACATGTTTTTAAAATAATAAAATTTTAGGGTAAACCATACGAAATTGTCAATAGTCAACCATTCCTGACTCATAAGAATGAAAATATCATATGGCTCAATTCTTAAAAAAATGCCTGAAGAGCTCAATGGAAAGTTCTCTTGTGGATCATTTTTGTTCTAAACACATTGCTAATGGTCAAATCAAAGTCACCTTTCCCCTTTTTCAAAGAGAAGGAATTCCTAGAGGAGCAGCAGAACAAGAGTTTTAGTGTAGCAATGAAACTGACCAACCTTGTAAATAACATTCAGAAGAACAAAAACTGAAACTGGCATCAGCTTCCCAACCTCCAGACTACATATATGGCCCTGGATAAGTTAATAAAGTAATCACAGAGTTCAGAAGAGGGTAGAGACTGCTACATTAAACTCAAATAATCTGTTTAAAAAGCATGTTAGGGGAGCACTCAGATTGGTGAGCACATTGATGTGCTGCAAGTGTGGCACACCCAGAGAGGGCATGGAAGTTCTGCCCTCCCGGCCCCTTTAACTCCACCCCATCTTGCCTTACACATCTCTTCCATTAGGCTGTTCCTGAGCTTTACCCTTTATAATAAACCAGTAAACAACCAAGCCTTATTATTATCTAGAAGTATTACTTCTTGATAATAACGTCAGTTTTCCTCTACTGTTGTGAATAATTCCAGAAAATTTTGCGAAAGGGTGTATATTAAAGGAAAAATAACATTACATAATTTAACACTATCACATATAAAGTCGTGTTATCTATGTGAATTTATTTTTGTCTTTCAGTGCTTTTGATGGAGAACTGGGTTGACAAGTGAAATAAGACAAGAGAAGAGGCAAAAATGATAAAAGTAAAAAAGGTAGGACTACATAAGAAGCAAAAGCATTAAAGAAGAAAAAAAGACAATGGTCAGGCATAGTAGCTCATGTCTCTAATCCCAGTACTCTGGGAGACTGATGTGGAAGAAATGGTTGAGGGAGGATTGCTTGAGGATAGGAATCCGAGACCAGCCTGGTCCACAATGACAAGACCCTGTTTCTACAAAAATAATTTTTTTAATGAGCTGGTTGTGCTGGTAAGCACCTATAGTCTCAGCTACTGGGGAAGCTGAGGCAGGGGGATCCCTTGAGCCCAGGAGTTCAAGGCCGCAATGAGCTATGACTGATCACACTACTGCACTCCAGCCTGAGCAACAGAGTAAAACTCATCTCTTAAAAAATAAAAATAAAAAATAGATACAAAGAGCAGGTTTTAACAATGAAGCAATGTAAGACTTTTTTCCCTTGGAACAAGGGGGAAAAAATTCAGGGGTAAATGAAGCAGATGTAAACAAACAAACAAACAAACAAAAAACAACTAAAACTGCAAATGTACAAAAACACAAAAGAAGCCAGGCTCGGTGGCTCAGCCTGTAATCCCGTGCCTTTGGGAGGCTGAGATGAGTGGATTGCCTGAGCCCGCAGGTTCAAGACCCGCCTGGGCAGCGAGACCTCATCTCTACAATAAAATCAAAAAAATCAGCCAGGCGTGGTAGTGCATGCCTGTAATTCTGGCTACTCTACTTGAGACTGAGGCAGAAGGACTGCTGGGGCGGCCACTGCACAACAGTCTGGGCGACCGAGTGAGACTCCAACTCAAAAAAAAAAAAAACCAAAGCAACTGTTGACAAGATAAAGTACAAATAAAATCTTCAGGGCAGATGTCTGAAATAGATGCTTAATCTGTATATATCAAAGACAACTGAAAGTGTTTAAGAACAAATCAACTTAATACACAAGGAAGTATATTAGCTATACACGCATGAGTGCTATGCATCTGTCAGTTGTTACTACTGTTCTTACAGTATTTTAAGACTAGCAGAAAAAAACAGTAGCCAACGACAAAAAGTGATATATTAAAAATACACTATGCAATAAATTCCCCTAGAGGAAAGTATCAGTTTTTAGTTGGACTAAAAACCTATATACTTAAAACACATACACACGTGCACACACACTTGTAGAAATACTGTAAAGAAAACCTTCGAGGCCACATCAGAAAAAAAAAAAAAAGGCAGATCTGCGTAAATAAAAAGTAACTTCTTAATGGCAAAAAACCACTGAACACATTTTAGAAATTGCCTTAGAAAAACACATAATAGACAGATTAAAACGTATCCATAAGATGCAAAGGTTTTCTACACCAAAAACTACATGAACAACAACAACAAAAAAGAATTCACAGAACAAGGGACAAGTCAATAATAGTAATTTAAAAGATGATACATATCACTATTGACAAAAAATTCAGGAGAATCAGTTTCCATCTATCAGGTTTACAAACCTTTACAGTACAATAATCCAGTCAATGAGAAAACAGATACCTTCAAAATTAGTGAAGGTAGTTTCAAAATTATGAATAATTGGCTGCACAGCAAAATTATGAAGCGATAATTCAAAAAGGCATTTTGGAGAACAAAATAATACATTTTGGTACAAAATTTCAGTATCCCTGTCTTTTGATTCAGAAACTGAACTAAGATCTATACCACCAGAAGATTTACATAAAAATATTAACTCTGGCATTGTTTTTTGGTATTGGCAAAAATGTTGCTAATAATTTCAATGCTTTTTAATTTATGATACATCACACCTAGAAGTTTTACAGGGTGTTAAAAAGAATGAGGTAAATTTATTTGAGCATAAATGAAAATGTCTGACAGCTTAACGGAATACAAAAATCACAAATACATAATGTAATCCACATTTTTGCAACTTAAAAACATTCTTTATAAATGCAAAAAAGAACTGGATGAAACGATCAACTCTGGTAAATGAGATTTAAGTTGGAGTGGGTGGACAAGCACACCTACACTAAGAGGGAAAGTTCACTTTGTACCTTATATAATTCTGTATCATTTCATTTTTTTTTTTACATTAAGCTTTATTACTTTGCATTTAAAGAGAGGAAGGAGGAGGCTTTCAAAGTTACCTGGTTCAAAAAATAACCACAATTTTTAAGAACTCCAGGTCATATGAATAGATAAGATTAAGTTTAAATCTCTTTTTTCTTATATGAATTTTCAGAATTTTCAAAAGTGAAAAAAATATGACAATAACAACTTAATTGCAGATAACAATTCACAAATTTACAAAGGGTAAATTTCACCAAAGCTGAATCATAAAACACAAAGTGAACTAAAATACTGTAGGATTATTAATTTCTAAATAATTCAATCTCTAACATCAATGTTTTGTTCAGAGTTGGCAAGAAGTGAGCCAAGAAGCCCATTCAGAAACAGGGGAGGACCTTTTCTCAGGACCCCACCAAGAGTAGTTTTTTCCTTTAATCTGAGACTTTATACTACCCATAAAATGTGTCTGAACAAGAAGAAAAAATTGCCAATGGCACTACTCTCAAAACTGACCACCACACATTTTTGAATCCAGATAATATCCAAATCTATGTCATTTCTTGCTTGACTTGACTCTTGCTTATCCAAAATCCAGAAGAAAAAAATTCTGTACCAAAAATTTTGAAAAATGGAAAGAAATCAAGCCCTTTTATCCATCTTCACATATGTCAATTAGAAAACAACACAATAATCTAAAGTCCAAATAACATGGCAGCATCACTGCCATATATAGCACCCACCAAGCACCCAACTTTCAAACTCCTTGATTTGCTGCAGTCACTCTGCTACTGTTTCCTTATGTATTTCCCATGCTGCCAGCAACATTGTCTTCAAGAACACATACACACGCCTAGACTACATTTACTGGTCTTCTTACAAAAAGTTCTTAGTACCCACTTTTGATGGAAGTCAACTATAAAAGCAAGTGAGTAAAGGGAACACTTTAACATTAGGGAGTTGGCTCACGGTACACTGATGTAACTTAAGTTATAATATACTTTTCACTATATTGCAAAAGCAATACAGTGCACAGAGAACGTAGTGCCAATAACCAAAATTCAGGCAGGAGTTTTTCATAAAGTTCAGGTTCTCAGGGATTAAAGTGCTGAAATTGTTTCTTCCTAGCATAATACCTAGGATTAATAAGGGTACAAAGATGTCATTAAAAAAAAAATAACAGAGGCTGTGCTCAGTGACTCTTGCTTGTAATCCAGCACTCTGGAAGGCTGAGGTGGGAGGTTCACTTGAGGCCAGGAGTTTGATACCAGCTTAGGTAACATAGCAAGACTCCATCTCTACAAAAAAATTAAAACATTGGTCAGGTGTGGTGGCTCACACCTGTAGTCCTGGCTACTCAGGAAACTGAGACAGGAGGATTATCTGAACCCAGGAGCTTGATCTGAACAGTGAGCTATGATCATGTCACTGTATTCCAGCCTAGGCCACAGAGCAAAACTTTGTCTCTAAAGTCTAACAAAAAATAAAATTGGCAGATAATGAAATCACTTCTTCAAAGTGCTTAGTACAACAGTTCCAGCAAAGAATATGTACTTTCAAATCTTTGTAAAAAAAATTTAGATGGCTATTTCATCAATAAAAATTCTCCCCTCCCACCAGTTCCTCCAATCCACCATACATAAAATAGGTACAAATTAGACTTCAGAACTGCTTCAATTCTATCAAGCCAACTTCATGTCAGAAAGATATTTAGCCTATTTGAGCAGCTAGGAGGAATGGTACCAATTCCTTGAAAACTGATAATCAACACCTTTATATCCATCAAATGCATCACCACACTTCTGACAATTATTTCTAAGCGTCTTTTTACCTAACAGCAAAGAACTGTAACATTAACTCAGGACTGCCTGAGCTCCGGAATTCGAGATCTCGTCTCTACAATAAATTAAAAAATTACTGTAGTCCCAACTAATCGGGAGGCTGAGACAGAAGGATTGCCTGAGCCTGGCAGGTCGAGGCTGTGGTGGCCATAATCCTACCACTGCACTCTAGTCAGCATAAAAGTGAGACTTCAACTCAAAAAAAGGAGGAGGAGAGCAGACATCCAAGTTCTACTAAGTATGAAAAAAACAAGGAAGCAATATAATGTGATATCATTTTTATTTTGAGAGAGACAGACAGACAAGCCTAGAATAATATATACAACATAAGCAGTGTTTTTTAAATTTCTGAGTAATAACTTTTTTTTTTGCCGCTTTTCGGTACTTTCACTTTTCCACAGACATGTCTAGAATATTCTACAAGACAGTACACTAATTACAATGTTTCACATATGAACTGTATTAATGACACCTACTATAAAGAATGGCAAATACTAACAAAGATACTGAGGAGGAGGAAAAAAAAATCACAAGATAAATTTTAAAGTGATTAGCTAGAAGAAGGAAAATTGCGACTAACACTATACTGCTCTGTGCCAGGTTCTTTAAAAATCAATTCAGATGCACTATCATCCACAACTTTCAAATTATTTTTATTATAGTGCTAAAGAAACCTGATCAAGCTCACAAAGCTAAAAACAGGAGCTCTGAGACCAATTCTAACTCCAAAACTCAAGCACTGCTACTATTACACAACCATTAACACCAATATAAAGCACAGACAAAAGGAACTAGATTTATCTTCAGGTAAGCCAATTTTCCAACATGAATATTTATTTATACCAAAATAATAGCACCACAAGAAAATAAACTTAAAAATACATACCTCTACTTCATCTCCTTCACTAATTTCTTTTTTTATATCGGGTGGTGGTGGTAATCTAACTTCATTAAATGGAACCTGGCGTTCTGGTTGCCAACTAAAGAATTAGAAAAGGAATTAACAATTTCAAAATACATTATTCTAATAACTGCTAATATAGAAGCTATATATCTGTGCTTAGGACTGTATGTTTTTCAAGTTTATCATTTAGCTTTCCCTAAAAAGAAAAACAACTATGATACTGTATAATTTCCCAAGTAGTTACTGAGAGAACAGATTCTGCATTACTCTTGATGAAGTTTATAAATAATTAACATCACTGACAATTATATGTTACCTTTCAAATCACTCATTCTAAGAGTACCTACATTATTCTGCAAATGAAATAGGCTAAGTTAGCAGTGATGATTAACTTAGATTCAAAATAATGTCACATCAGTACAGCTGCCAAATAACTAGTAGTGAGATCAGCTTATCTCAACATTTTTTACAACAATGTGACCTGTCAAAAAAGAAAACAGTTTCAAAGTAGATTACAAAATAATATAAACTGCATAATTCTCTTTAGTATACATGTTCACAGAAATATAAAAAAATTAATCAACAATTATTTTGAATAGCTGAATGACAAAATATTTCATTTTCTCATGTTTGACTTATATTTTCCATGATGGACATATACATTATACTTATTATTATTTTGAGTCAGAGTTTCAATCCATCGTCCAGGCTAGAATACAGTGTCATGATCAGGGCTCACTGCAAGCCTCGACCTCCTGGGCTCAAGAAATCCTTGTGCCTCAGCCTCCCTAGGAGCTAGGGCTACCGGCGTGCACAACCATGCCTGGCTAGTTTTTTTTATTTTTTGTAGAGACAAGGACTCACTATGTTGCCCAGGCTGATTTTGAACTCCTGGACTCAAGCAATTCTCCCATCTCAGCCTCCCAAAAGTGCTGAGTTGAGAGGGATGAGCCTCTGCGCCTGGCTGTTACATTATAATCAGGATTTAGAAAAAGTTTAATTTTAATATCTGTAGCAAATATGAGTGTATTAAGTTACTAATTTAGCAGGTGCTCAACTGACATGTTTTGTGTTGTATTTTATAAACTGAATTTATGAAGTTAGAAATTATTACCTACTCCAAGTTCTCATAGGTCATTTATATGCCTGGGAGGTATTCCAGCACATAGTTTCTACCAGTCAGTGCTGGGCAAAGCAGCAGCTAACAAGTAAAGATTTGGGGATCTTTTCTTTTTACTATACTGTCTAAATAGCAGCTGTTCAAAGACAGAAATCATCTCAACACCTGTTTCTACATGAACAGCTGTTGGGCAAAAAATTTTTTCAGGCAGTTCCAGAAGCAACTTAAAAAATGGAAGCTGAACAGTTCTTTTCTGACCTTCAACTAAATGATGCTCTTTTGTAACACTTCCCAACCAAGCCCAGCACACCAGAGGAAACAAAAAAACCTGGAAGTGATTTATAAATCAGTTGGAAAAAGCATATTGCTAGGTATATTGTATATTTACTCTTACAGGTTTAAACTTCAGTCACCTTTACAGGTTTAAACTTCAGTCACCTTCAAAGTACTTTGCTTGATACAATATACCTAGCAATATGCTTTTTCCATTGCTCAAAATAGTTTCTGAACTCATATATTTTGATGCCTTTTAGAGCTTCTGCTGTTCTTTGTTTTACCTCTTCCACATCAGCAAAATGTTTCCCTTTAAGAACTTTTTTTCATCCAGGGAAACAAACAAAAAAGTCACTGGGGTGAGATTGGATGAATAGGGAGGGTGGGGCACCTGGATCATGCCATTTTTCATCAAAAACGGCTGAACACTCAGCACAGTGTGGGCAGGTGCACTCGCAATCACCCATCAAGAAATGCACAAATGCACTGAAAGAATCTCCAAGAAAAAATTCACTGCAGCCCAAAGCAGCCTCTCACGACACTAGCTGGTAAACTAATGCCTAAGGGTTCCTAAAACACCTAGCAGAGGCAGCCTGTACTACAAGGGGCCCACCCTCCAAAAAATAATTCCAGTTTTTTTGGAGTTCCCTTTTGTACTATCTTTCTCATTTTTAGGATACCAAACCCTCAAGCAATGAAAGAAGGCCTAATATTTTATCCTGACAATCAGCAGCCATTTGAAAGGCCTTCTACAACATCATTTTAATATGCTGGGCTTTTAAGAATTAAGCATATTAATCTAATTTGTGCCATCTATTTCTGCAAAAATTACTTACTGACTCATATCCATACATGTCATGGCAAAGAGGGTTATGAAAAAAGTGACAAGTAAACTGTGGGCAGAAAAATAGGTGATGAGTTATCAAAGATAGACTTAACCGAATTCATAAATAACAATCAAAGCAAAATCATTTTCCCACTGGTAGTAAAACGCCCAAAAGCGAACTGTTTGGCAATACCAAGTTCTAAAATTAAGATCTTTGTCAATAATAATAACTTACTTATTTTCAAAAACAACTGTGAGGGAGTCTTCATGGACATCTTTGATAAATCCCTGCAAAACACAAAAACAATGTTAAAGGCCTACTGAGTTAAACATTACATGAGTCTAAAAGGCTACACGAGAGATAAAAAGAACATATGCAGTACTGAAAGAACATAAGATTTGGAATCAGGCAGATATGGGTTTGATTTCCATCTCTACCATTTATGGTATCTACATGATCCTGTAAGTTACATAACCTCTCCGAATCTCATTTTCCAGTTTCCCCTACCTTGGAATTAGCAAAAGTAAATGTATACCATAAAACATCACAGGTATTAGTCAAAGCAGTATTTATACTATTGTGATGAAGAATTCCACAGTTAGTACTCTAAAAATTCAAGTTCCAGAGTCTAACTGCCAGGATTCACATCTCAGCTCTATCATTTGTATATTCTTGAGCATAGTTTTGAACTAACGGAATTATGATATCATTAAATTATGAGAAATGTTTAGCATATTACCTGGCAGAGTAAGAACTCAGTGTTGCTATGTTATAAATGTTACAGTTCATCTTTAGTAAATGCATGACTGTATTTTAAATACTATCTTGTCATTAACTTAACCTTATTTTTCCCACCTACTTCTCTTCCCCTTCCTTTAAAAGAAAATTAGACTATACTAAGTACATCACAATCTATTATGGAATTAATATAAATTCTTAATAAAAATCAGTTATCTTTCAGTCCTAAAATTAATATTAAAATCAGCCTTTTTACTATATCTTCACTTGATGAATACAACTAAAAGAAACCATAAGATCTCACACATTCAAAAAGGAACAAAGGACTTAGGTATAGAATTACTGTTGTTCAAATCCTTATTCCACAACTATGTAAAAGCTTAGGCAAGCAGTCCTTGGCATTTGTATAATTACAATTAAATTAAACATGTCATACTAATATCAATCAGAATTGCAAATTTTTTAACCTTAGTCAAACCCTTATACATACACTTTGAACCACTGGGTACTTAGTAAATACTTTTTTTTGAGTTGGAGTGTCACTCTGTCATCCAGGTTGGAGTGCAGTGGCACACTCACGGCCACCCTAGCACCGACCCAGTGGGCTCCAGTGATCCTTCAACCTCAGCCTTCCAAGTAGCTGGAACTACAGGCGCAATAACGTGCCCGGCTAATTTTCGACTTACTGTAGAGATAAGGTCTCACCAAGTTGCCTAGGCTGGTCTCAAACCCACGGGCTCAGGCAATACACCCACCTTGGCCTCCCCAAGTGCTGGGATTACAGGCTGAGCCACCAAGCCAGCCCCAGTAAATACTTTTCAAAAACACCTTTGTCAGGCCAGTTGCAGTAGCCTGTAATGCCAGAGCTTTGAAAAAATCAAGATGAAGGATTACTTGAGGCCAGGAGTTCAATACTACCCTGGACAACATAGCAAGATGCTGTCTCTACAAAAAAAATTTGAAATTTAGCCAGGTGTGGTGGGCATGCACCTGTAGTCTCAGCAACTCAAGAGGATCACTTGAGCCCAGAAGTTCGAGGCTACAGTTAACTATTATCATGACATTGCACTTTTGCATGGAACAGAGTGAGACTCTGCCTCTTAAAAAAAAATCCTTATCATACTAGACTCTATAATGACTACTGAAAACTAGTTATACAAACACATGCACGCAGTACCTGCTCAAAGCATGGCAGAAATGAACACATCTATTTATTTCATTCCTTCCCAAAGTCCATTAAGTAACATTAAAGAGATTTTAATCAGTGTGCAGATGGGTGGGTTAAAGAGAGAAAGAGGCCAGGCACAGTGACACACTTGTTAATCCCAGCACTTTGGGAAGCTGAGGCAGGAGGATTGTTTGAGCCCAGGAGTTCAAGACCAGCCTAGGCAACATAGCAAAACCATGTCTCTATAAAAATCCCTCAAAAAAGTGCCAGGCATGGTGGCACCAGTCTGTAGTCGAGGCTGTGGTGAATCGTGATTGTGCCACTGCACTCCAGCCTTGGTGACAGACTGAAACCTCAACTCAAACAAGAAAGAGATTTTAAGGTATAAACCCATGAGAAGAGAATGAAGGGAAAATATAAACTACAAAAAAAAAAACAAAACTTTTTTAGCTTACAAAGCAGATGGAAGAGGAGTAACTAATAAAAAACGAACCAACAATTAATATTTAAATGCTTACTATGTGCTAGATATTATTCTAAGCAAGTTAGTAAATTAGAGTGAAAACAAACTGGCAGTGGCAAAACTTAAAAGCAAGCAGGTCAGCACTGCAACTATAGATCTTTGGAACTGGAGAAAAGTCGTGGCAAGGGAAACAGATGGAACTGAAAATAAAATCTGTCATTTTATTTTCTTTAATAATATAGGATGACAAACAGCAGAATACAGGTAATTCATAAATTTCAAGTCCATCACTGCTCCCCCCACCAATGTGCTACTCAACTGCATTCTGTGATTCGGCTCTGTTCTCATCTCTACCTCCAACTGCCTGTTACCTCGTTTATTTGTGTGCTACAGGACATTTACAGGAAAAGAGCCTCATTGAGACCTAAAACTCAGGATGCCTTCCTCTTCTTCTAAGAGTTCTCCAGTAGCTCCTGTCTTGCAATCCTGAAGATATTCTCTATTCCTTTCTCCTCCCAAATTTGAAAATAAAGAGCTGCTATTACAGTTCAGGTTCCAACTACATGACCATGCTACTATAATCATGTCTTCCTGGACTTCATGTCTTTAGTAATCCAGTTCTTTCATAGTTATGTTACCAGTAAATATATATGTAACACCCTTGCCATTTTTAAATGAATATTTCAGAAACTAAGAATGTCCAAGTTCATGAGTAATAGTAAAGCATCTCTTGCCACCAGAAGTTAGTAATATTTTCAACTTTTATATTTTCTAGTCCTTCAACAAACAACTTTCATGGTGTTTGTTAAATTTTACAAATTAATCTTTCTAGTCTCTGTATAATTCATACAGGGGATTGGTACAAATCAGAACTCTAAGCCACCAGAAAATTTTACTCTTTACTATAATAATTCTTTCTTCTAAAAATCAGGGCTTCTACCTTTCTCACAAACACTTCCACCATAATCATGAGTGTCAACTTTGTTTGGATGTACGTTTTTCACAAACTTTAATACAAAGCTCTAGCCATCTTATTGCTAATATTTTTCCACCAGGAGATTAACTAGATTAAGGATCTGACATCTAGACCTTAAAACATATTTGGACTGTTAGTGAACAATTTCTAATGAACTGCTCCCTAAAAATCTAATTCTCAAATCCTAAATCTAGAGATAAGATACTCCTAATGCTAAATCTCTATACAACTGAGTAAACTGCATACAAGACAAGTCAAGACACTTGTATTTTCGCACTCTCTAAGCCACCAGATGATGATATCTGCTCAAGAGATTCAAAATGAGAGGGATGGGTCTCTGGCAAAATCTTCAAGAGTCAGGAGATATCAATGACAACAGCCATATATGCACATGACATGGAGGGCTTTATGCCTTGAAGTCTCTATAACGTCTATCTTCCTCATGTTAGCTACAATCTGTGAAAATATTTACTGTGTCTTCCTCCTCACCCTCATTTAGGCTAAGACCCATATTTCTGAGATCAAAACCTCTGACAATTCTTTTTTTCTTTCTATATAATATATGCAAACATGGAAGAGTTCAAGGCATCCTTATTGGGCCAGGCACAGTGCTTCACATCTGTAATTTCAGCACTTTGTGAGGTCAAAGCAAGAGGATCATTTGAGTCCAGGAGTTTGAGACCAGCCTGGGCAACATGACAAGACCCCATCTCTACAAAAAACCATTAGCCAAGTGTAACAGAGCACTCCTGTAGTCCCAGCTACTAGAGAGGCTGAGGCAGAAGGACTGCCTGAGTCTAGGAGGTCAAGACTGTGAAGAGCAACGATCATGCTGCTGCACTCCAGCCTGGGTGGCAGAGTGAGGCTCTGACTCAAAAATAAACAAATAAAAAGATAAATGAAACAGTCACTCATTTTGTTCATTCACAAAGTCAACATATGTATGCATCTGAAACTCTTAACTATAATTTAAACTAATCATTAATAAATAACCAGACAGTATAACACATCTAAAGAGCACTCAAAATCTTAAAATGTTCTCCCCATACATCCAACAAAATAGGCACATCATAATAACAATAATAAATCAACCAGAAATGTCATAAATTAAGGAAAAATGAAGAAGGGATGGAGAGAGAAGGAATCCTTGAGCAATGAAAGCACTATTTGAAAACCTAATTTCAAAAACAATCTAGTCTAAAATGGAAATTTTTTTTTTTTAAAGTTCTTTGTCAAAGATTCACTAAGGTGGCAAAAGTAAGTATCAATTAGCTTTCTGGTGTAAAAAATAAGCATCTGGAAAATAAAAATTTTACACAAAAAAATATTCTACTTAAATAACAAACAAAAAATAAATCCTCTGTTTTGGTAAGGAACATATAAAAGAAAAATAAATAAATCCTGCCAACACTTTCAACAATACTGCAATGTATAGGATCTATGTACACAAATCTTTGAAACTTTAATAAAGAGAAAATTAAGAAAACGTAAAATGCCATCATGTTTTCAGATCTTAATTATTAAAAAAAAACAAAAATAACTTCAATATGCCTCTAAAATTAACCTACAATTTCAACAGGGTCCCTCTGAAATACTAAGTGTGTTTATGTTCTGCTGTGGGGGAAAGCTGCTAATCTTAAAGTCCATCTCATAAACAACAAAAAAGAAAGGACTCAAAAACAAAACTTTTAAAATTGGGGCAGAGGGTAATAACAAGAACACATTGTACCTACAACTATTTTTAAGGTGAGGCGCAGTGGCTTACATCTATAATTCCAGTTTTTGGGAGGAGGGAGGATCATTTGAGACTAGGAGTTTGAGACCAACCCCATCTCTACTAAAACGTTTTAAAAATTAGCTGGGTATTCTGACACGTGCCTTTAGTCCTAGCTACTCAGGAGGCTGAAGTGGAAGGACTGCTTGAGCCCTGGAATTCAATGCT